ACTGTCTTTTGCCCAGGCTGGAGCCTAGTGACACAATCACAGCTCACCACAGCCTCAGACTCCTGGGTTCAGGTGATCCTCCTGAGTAGCTGAGATTGTAGGCGTGTGCCACCACGCCTGGCTAATTTTTTCTTACTTTTTTTGTAGAGATGAGGTCTATATTCCCCGGGCTGGGTCTCAAACACTTGGGTTCAGACAATCCTCCCACTTTGGCCTCCCAAATTGCTGGGATTACAGGTGTGAGACACCATACCTGGCCTAGTATCACTTCTTTCTGTATTGATACCTTGTTTTTCTGGTCTTTTAAATTCTAATTTCTTCATTGTTTTTCATGTTTCTCTTCTGGAAACAGTTTTTATTTGGCTTCTTCAACCTTTTTTAATAGGAAAAGAATGCTGAAATTTCATCTCTGTGGGACTCTAGCAATCAGTTTCAATATTTCTATTTCCTCCCTTCCATCTGCCTAGTCCATTTAACTACCACTGGATTGATCTTTTAAAAATGCACTTCTGGCCGGGCTCGGTGGCTCAGCCTGTAATCCCACGCCTTTGGGAGGCTGAGGTGAGTGGATTGCCTGAGCCCGCAGGTTTGAGACCCTCCTGGGCAACTTGGCGAGACCTCATCTCTACAATAAATCAAAAACTAGCCGGGCGTGGTAGCGCGCGCCTGTAGTTCCAGCTACTTGGAAGGCTGAGGTGGAAGGATCGCCGGAGCCCAGCAGGTCGAGGCTGCGGTGGCCGGGAGCGCCCACTACACTCCAGTCTGGGCGACAGAGTGAGATTCCAATTAAAAAAAAAAAAAAATGCACTTCTGATACGTCGTTCCCCTCAAGTGATTTAATGGTATTTCCTAACCTTTAGAAAAAAATTCATGGAGAAAGGTCAAACTCTTGGGCTTGGCATACACACCCCTCTCAGCGTGTGTAGCCTTATCTCTTATGTCCCCTCCTGCAAGTTGTGTCCCCTCACAGTTTCTTGCTCCTGCCGATGCTGGACCCTCTACCAGAATGCCTTTTCTGTTCCCTTTTGCCTGGCTCAAACTTGTTTTGTAAGACTCAACTGAGGTTCCACCACTTCTGAGAGGTCTCCCAGAATCCTGCCAGTTAACATTAGGTATCTTTCTTTATGCTTTTGTAAGCTTCTCTCTCTCTCTTTCTTCCTCTTGGGGTATCATTCTCTTTTGCCCAGGCTGGAGTGCAGTGACTCTCTGTGAGAACATGAGAACACAAGTTCCCTGTCACAGCCTTTAGCACGCTGGATTTTATGGTCTGGTCACTGCTCTTCATTTAGACTTGTAGTCTGTGTTTTTAGGTAGCTCAGTCTTGTTCATCCCACATTTCCTTTTACAGAACAGTTTTCATCTGTTGAATCAAAATTGAATTTATAAGTGCTAAAACCTGATTGAATGAAGGCACATTTGTGTGTAACTTTCTTCTTTGTAGTCTTTTATATTTATTTATGTTTTAGTATCTCATGGCTTTTAGTTCAAAACTTAGTTCCACCAATTCCTTACTTATAATCTTGGGCAAACTATTTAAGCTTTATAAGACTTGGTATCCTTATTTGTAGCTTTTGGATATTAATGGCAAACATTCCTTATTTTGTAGCTTTTGGATATTGTCAGGCATTTGTAAGAAGATGTTTATAAGGTCAGTCAGTACCCTCTCAGTAAATGGCAGCAGTTGTCACTATGTAGAAGGTAAAGATAATGGTTTATGTTTATCTGGTAAATAATACTGACTTTATTTGGGATTAGACAGTATTCTGAACATCTTTGGCCCAGTCTTCTTTTTATAATTGGGCTCTACATGGGATCATCTTCATCTCAGAAGTGTCCTGATTTGAACTAATGATTTGGTCACACTAATTTATATTTGAGAAATTAACCTATGCCCCCAATATGTTAGGTAATTTTCGAGGGCAGAGAGTAATGGCCATAACATTTTCCTTCACAGGGTTTGTAGCAAGTTTAAAAGACAACTAAAATATGAGCATTTATGGAGCAATGAAATCCTAAACTATATGATTCTGAAAAAACTGTTAGTTGTTTAGAATTCTTAATGGGCTGGAGAAATTAGGGCAATACTTTGTGTAGGAGGGAGGATCTGGGCCTTGAAGTACATACCCTATGTTTATAGATTGTCACTCTTGTCAACTTTTCTCCCCATATTATCCAATCTGCAGCCCATCTTTTAAATATAAAGTTATCTTTATTCTTCGTAGAGGGGCATTCCCCAATGACCTAATCTAATGTTGTTCCCTTTTTGGTAGCTTTTACTCATAAGATCTGTTTTCTAGCTCTGAGACTTACACTTCTTGGCTTTGTGTTTTGAGACTCAGCGATGAGGGTAACATTTTAGAATGTGGGACTACATGTCATTCTAAATTCCTGTTTTTACAGTGTGTTAATTTTGTTTACCCTTTAAAATAAAACACAGTTACAATTATAGGTAATGAAGCAGAAAAATCTTTGTTTTATGACTTTATCTTGGGCTAAAACTTTTAAAAAATTTTGTATTGAGCTTCCAATAGCCCACAAAGCAAGTAAGAACCCATTTAAAATACCAATATCAAATTGAATCTTACAAATCTCTTAAAATGTTTTCTGTAATTGAAGTTCTCTATCCTCTTACATTACTTTTCAAATTTTTATTCTAAATACATAGGAACCATTTTTAAATGGTCCCTAAAGAGATGAATCACGGAATGAATAAATAAAAAGAAACATATTAATTAAGGGCTCTGAACCTTGAGTCCTTTCCTTCAGTTATTACTTAGCTTTTACAAGGCTTTTAGGTGCTGAGGATTCAAATAAATAAGACATTCTTTCTTGAGATTCCAGTCTACAGAGAGACAATATTGAATGTGAATGAATGAAAGTGAATGAATGAAAGCTGAAAACCAGTTCTTCTCTGCGTGGGGTAGCAATAGATGGTGGTTCTCTTGACTGCAGTGACTTATTCAGTGTGACTCTTCTTAACCCTTAGGAGGTTTGGTTTCTCATTTGATTTTCTATATCTGCATATTTTAAATTCTTCTGAGCTATTGATAGGTCAAAATGTTGTTATACTCTAATAATAGATAATGCATATTTGCAGCATTCAAGTGGATCATCTTAGACAATCTGTAAGTTAGTTCCTTTTGGACTTTAGTTACTTGTATTTCCAAAATATGAGCATACTTCATTGACCTGTATCTTAAATATTTTTCTCTGCAATATATAGAACGTTCAGATAAAAATACATTTTTCAGACATTGAAAGGTTTCTGAATTGCTAATTATTGTGAATAATTTTCAACTGACAATTTCACTTCTACCTTAAGTGTTAACATTTCTTGAACATAATGTATTTTGTTATACTTACATAAAACTAAATCACAAAGAGGCAAATATTTGAAAATGCAGAAAACCTTAAATATAACCTTGATTTTTGTGTAAACATAAGATAGGGAGACACGTTACCATATATTATTCAAGTTGGGAAACAGCCATAATGGCTGCTAGAACTCTAACTCATTTAAAATTGAGTCATTTTGAAGAAATTTATAAATATTCACATTTTAAAAATGACATCTACGAGTTTGAGAACAATTAATTTGTTTAGTAAAATTTGGAGTCATGTCATCTGTCTATTCTTTTCATTATCACCAAGAATATCCTAGATTGAACTTGGAATAGGAATAAATGAATTTAATTTTGAAAAGTCTGCTTTCAAAAAATATTCTGTCTTCTTTGTAGCTATATAATGTTACCAAATACTTCCAAAAGTTGTTGAAATGTTACAGTTCTAAACTCAAATAAAATATATTTCTTATTGGATAAACCTAATGAAACTGAGGACTATAGATAACCCAGGGCTTTTATATTCATTTTCCAGTCCTCCTGGATTAAGACATTACTGTAATACTTCAACAAATAGACTAATACAGATTTCTACACTCTAGTAATTATATAGAAAATAGTAGGCCTTTGGAAACAATGTGGGTAATTTGGCAGTTGTTGAATGGTTGTGCTTTGCAATTTTTAAACTATTTTGAATTATTATAACAATGAGTAGTGATTATTTTGATTTTATCTTTGAAATTTCACTCTTTTACACATTTTTAAGATCTTTATGTTATGTCAGAGGGTAATGACAAAAAGAATCTCTACTGATGTGATAAGTTTGCTAACTAAAATATTTTCTAGCTTTCAGCTTATGTGGAGAAGTTGTTGGAGAAGACACCTACAAATCCATACACTGAATTTATGGAGAAGCCTACAAATTATGGCAGTCATTCAGAAGAACTATTTTCTCATCTCAAAACTAGATCAGTGAAGGAAGGTTTACCACGATGTACCAGTGAAAGTCATCTCAGCAGGTATTCTCATCAGGAGAAATCTAATTTTCTTATTCAGGATTTCATGTTTTTCTCCATAATGTAAATTATTTGAATCAAATACAGCATTTCTTTAAGAATATCTTTTTCTTTTTTAATTATTTGGTTTTTATTAGTTTATGCAATTAACTCTCTGTCAGCAATTTTATATTGGATTAGTAATCCTTATGAGCACATTTTTTTTTTTCAGAGTCTCACTCTGTTATCCAGGCTGGAGTGCAGTGGCACACTCACGGTCACCACAGTCTTGACTTGCAGGGCTCAGGTGGTCCTTCTGCCTCAGCCTTCCAAGTAGCTGGAACTATAGGTGTGTGCTATCACACCTGGCTTATTTTTGGATTTATTATAGAGACAAAGTCTCACCGAGTTGCCCAGGCTGGTCTTGAACCCCTGAGCTCAGGCAGTCCACTCGCCTCGGCTTCCCAAAGATTACAGACTTGAGGCTCTGCACCTGGCCAAGAATATCTTTTTCAAACGTAGTATTTATTCATTAAAATATATTTATTTAATGTGATTACAAATACACTCATTTAGAAGAATTTAGCTAGTTTTTTTTAAATCTTAATGAAAGCAATTGAAAATGTCATCTGTTAGTAATTTATAAAACTTTTTAACTTTTAGATGAAAATAGAAATTATATGGAGTATTAGAAACATAGTTAATGGAACTGGGCTCGGTGGCTCAGCCTGTAATCCTGTGCCTTTGGGAGGCTGAGGTGAGTGGATTGCCTGAGCCTGCGGGTTTGAGACCCGCCTGGGCAACTTGGCGAGACCTCATCTCTACAATAATCAAAAATCAGCCGGGCATGGTAGCATGCGCCTGTGATTCTGGCTACTCGGAAGGCTGAGGCGGAAGGATCGCCGGAGCCCAGTGGGTCGAGGCTGCGGTGACTGGGAGTGGCCACTGCACTCCAGTCTGGGTGACGGAGTGAAACTCCAACTCACAAAAAAAAAAAAAAGAAACATAGTTAATGAATATGAATCCACTGTCATTTGGTATATTACTAGATAACAAGTACTTGTCATAGTTTTTTTTTTTTTTGAATAGGAGTCTCACTCTGTGCCTCAGCCACTCACAGCCACTGCAGCCTTGACCTGCTGGGTTCAGGCGATCTTTCTGCCTCAGCCTCCCAAGTAGGTGGGACGACAGGTGTGTGCCACCATGCCCAGCTAATTTTTTAATTTGTTGTAGAGATGATGATGTCTCATCAACTTGCCCAGGCTAAGTCTCGACTTCTGGGCTCAGGAAATCCTCCTGCCTCCTCGTCCCAAAGTGCTGAGATTATAGGCGTGAGCCAATATGCCTGGCCATATTTTTACTTTTTTAGAAGTGGAGAATATACTTGTTATTTTTATAGGAATCATTATCCCTTCAAAACAACAATCTTAAGATACCATGATTGCTACTGTGGATAGTGCAGTCCAGTTTCTGGTTTAACTTGTCATAAATGAAACTAATATTTTGTTGTATATAATCACTCTTGACTTTTTGCTCAGTTTATTTTATTTTATCTTATTTCAATAGCTTTAGGGGGTACAAATAGTTTTTGTTTACATGGATGCATTGTGTAGTGGCAAAGAATTCTGGACTACCCGCCACCGCCACACACGCACTTTGTAGCTAAAGGTGATATTTTATTCCTCCACCCCTTCCCACCCTCCCCCTTTTGAGTTTTCAGTGTCCGTTATAGCTTTCTATATGACTTTGCAGATCCTTAGCTTAGCTTCCATTTATAAGTGAGAACATGTGGTGTTTGGTTATCTGTTCCTGTGTTAGTTAGGATGATGTTCTCCAATTCCATCCAAGTTGCTGCAAAAGACATTATTTCACTCTTTTTTGTTGCTGATTAATATTCCATGGTATTTATATACCACATTTTCATTAACCATTAATCAGTTGATGGGCATTTACGTTGATTCCACATCTTTGCAGTTGTGAATTGTGCTGCAATAAAAATCTGAGTGCAGGTGTTTTTTTGGTATAATGACTTCTGTTGGGTGGGATTGCTGGATCTAATAGTAGACCTACTTTTAGTTTCTTCAGAAATCTCCATACCGATTTCCATAGAGGTTGTACCTAATTTGTACTCCCACCAACAGGCTATTAACATTCCCTTCTCACTGCATCCATGCCTGCTTCTATTGTTTTTTGATTTTTTTTATTAATGGCCATTCTGACTGGTGTAAGGTAGTATCTCATTGTGGTTTTAATTTTCATTTCCATGTTGAAATTTTTTTCATGTTTGTTGGCCATTTGTATGTCTTCTTTTAAGAGATGTCTGTTCATGTTATTTGCCCACTTTTTAATGGGTTTATTTCCTTTTTTTTTGCTGATTTTGAGTTCTTTGTAAATTTGGATATTAGTCCTTTATCAGATGTATAGTTGCCTATTTACTCATTTCTTTTACTGTGCAGAAGCTATTTAGTTTAATTAAATCCCACTTATTTATTTTTGTTGCATTTGCTTTTGAGGTTTTAGCTATAAATTCTTTGCCTAGGCTAACATCCAGAAGAATTTTTCCTAGGTTTGCTTCTAGGAGTTTTGGTTTTAGGTCTCACATTTATGTCTTGAGTTAATTTTTATTTAGGGTGAAAGATAGGGATCAAGTTCCATTTTTCAGCATGTAGCTATCCAATTTTTGCCGCACCATTTGTTGAACAGAGTATCCTTTCCCAGTGTTTGTTTTGTCTGCTTTGTCAAAGATCAACTGGTTATAAGTTTTTGGGTTTATTTTTGGATTCTCTATTCTGTTCTATTGGTTCTGTGTCTGCCCTTGTACCAGTACCATGTTGTTTTGGTTACTATAGCCTTGTAGTGTAATTTGAAGTCAGGTAATGGGATGCCTTCAGCTTTGTTCTTTTTGCTTAGGATTGCTTTGACTATTCTGGCTCTTTTTTTCCATGTGAATTTTAGGATTGTTTTTTCTGATTCTGTAAAAAATGATGTTGGTATTTTGATAAGGATTGCATTGGATCTGTAGATTACTTTGGGCAATATGGTCATTTAAAAAATGTTGATTCTTCTAATTCATGAGCATGGTATGTTTTTCCACTTGTGTCTTCTACAATCTTTTTTCATCAGTGTTTTGTACTTCTCCTTGCAGGGAACTTTCACCTTCTTGGATAAATATATTCCTAGGTATTTTAGCTTTTTTGGCTGCTATTGTAAATGCAACTGAATTCTTGTTTTGATTTTCAGCTTGATTGCTATTGGGCATATAGAAGTGCTGCTAATTTGCGTGCATTGATTCTGTATCCAGAGACTTTACTGAATTCATTTATTAAGTCCAAGAGTCTTTTGGAGGTGTCTTTAGGATTCTCTAGATATAAGATCATATCGTCAGCATACAGAGATAATTTGATTTCTTTTTTTCCAGTTTGGATACCCTTTATTTATTTTTCTTGCTTGATTGCTCTGGCTAGAACTTTGTACTGTGTTGAATAGGAATTTTTCAAAAAAGCAGCTTTTTATTTCATTGATTATTTTTTAGTATCTTTTTTTGGTTTTAGTTTCATTTATTTCTAGTCTAATCTTATTTCTTTTGTTCTGCTAGCTTTGGGTTTGGTTTGTTCATGTTTGTCTAGTTCCTTGACATGTGATGTTAAATTGTCAATATGCTATCTTTCAGACTTTTCAAAGTAGTTATTAAGTGCTATACATTTTCTTCTGAGGACAGCTTTGGCTGTGTTCCAGAGGTTTTGATAACTTGTGTTGTTGTTGTCATTCATTTTAAGGAATTTTACATTTTTTATTTGGATTTCATTGTTGACACAAAGATTATTTAGGAGCAAATTGTTTAACTTCCATGTATTTGTTTGGTTTCCTGAGTTTTTCTTGGAGTTGATTTTAGTTTTATTTCAATGTGATCAAATAAGGTGATTGATATGATTTCAGTTTTAAAAAATTTATTGAAACTTGGTTTGTGGCTTATCTATCTTGGAGACTATTCCATGTGCTGATGAGAACAATGTATATACTATAATTTTGAGGTGGAATGTTCTGTAATGACTGTTAGGTTCATTGATTCTAGTGTCTGGCTTAACTTCGGTGTTTTTTTATTGACTTTCTACCTTGATGATCTGTTTGTTGCTCTCAGTGGAGTCTCCCACTGTTACTGTATTGCTGTCTATCTCTTTTCTCAGGTCTAGTAAAGTTTTTTTTAAATAAAGCTTGGAGCTCTGGTGTTGGGTGAATATATATTTCAAATTGTTATATTGTCTTGTTGGAGTGATCCCTTTATCATTATATAATACCCTTCTTTGTCTTTTTTCACTGTTAAAGTTTGTTTTATCTGTTATGAGAATGACTGCTCCTTTTTGGTTTTCATTTGCATGGAATATTTTTCCCCCTTTACCTTGAGTCTGTGGGAGTCTTTGTGTGCTAAATGGGCCTCTTGAAGGCAGTAGATATTTGGATTGTGACTTTTCATATATTCTGCCTTTCTCCATTTTTTAAGTGAGGCATTGAGACTATTTACATTCAGAGTTAGCAATGATATATAGGGTATATTCCATTCATCATGTTGGTTGTTACCTGGTTGCTTTTTTTTTTTTTTTTTTTTCCTTTCTGTGGTTGGTGTTCTATAAGTCCTGTGAGCTTTATTATTTTCAGTGTTTTTCTACTGGTGTATTTTGACCTTTTGTTTCAATATTTAGAACTACTTTGAGTATTTCTTGTAGAGCTGGGCTAGTGGTGACAAACTCCCTCAGCATTTGCTTGTTTGACAAGGACTATTTCTCTTCTGTTTATAAAACTTAGAGATGTGGGATACAAAATCTTTGGCTAACAGTTATTTTTATTGAGAAGATTTAAGATAGGGCCCCAGTCTTTTCTGGCTTATAGGATTTCTGCTGAAAAGTCTACTGCTTTGTAAGTTATTTGATGCTTTTGTCTCATTGCTCTTAGAATTTTTCCCTTCACATTAATGCTGCATAACCAATGACTATATCTTGGGGATGACCTTTTTGCAATTAATCTTATAGGGGTTCTTTGGGCTTCTTGTACCTGTATGTTTAAATCTCTGGCAAGGCCAGGGAAATTTTCTTCAATTATTCCCTCAGACAGGTTCTCCAAACTTGTTACTTTCTCTTCTTCCTCAGGAACACCTATGATTCTTAGGTTTGGATGTTTTACATAGTCCCACATTTTTTGGAGATTTTATTCTATTCTCTTGATTCTTTTGTATGTGTGCATGTGTGATTGGGTTAATTCAAAAGCCTTGCCTTTCACATTCTAAGATTCTTTCTTCTACTTATTCTAGTCTACTTTTAAAACTTTCTGTTGCATTTTTTACTTTCCTCAATGAGTCTTTCATTTCCAGAAGCTCTGCTTTGTGTGTGCGTGTGTGTGTGTGTGTGTGTGTGTCCACTCTTTGAAGAATTTTTCATTCATGTCCTGAATAGTTTTTTGTTTTTAACTTATTTATGTTGGTTTTCAACATTTTTCTGGATTTCACTGAGCAATTTTATAATATATCTTTTGAATTCTATCTTTGGAATTTCGAAAATTTCATTTTGGTTAGTGTCCATTGCTGAGGAGTTAGTATGGTCTTTTGGGGGTATTGAAGAATCAGAATTATTTTCTGGTTTTCTCATTTGGGTAGATTTTTCTTATTTGAGGTTGGTGTGGACTGATATAGACACTGTAGAATTCCCTTAGTTATATGTAGTCTTGGTGTGGTGAATTTCTCAATTGCCAGCTGTGGCAATGCTGTTCTGGTTCCCTGTGCTCAAGATGTCCTGTGCTACAGCAGCTTGGATAGTGGTGGTGGTTGGGATCTGGGTTCAGACCTTCCCAGAAGTCTAGTTATTACATCAGATATAATGGGCTGTGCCTGTTAACCTCCAGCCAGGAATTGGCGCTTTCAGGATAGAGCCAGGTGTGATGGTGGCTGTGACCAGGTGTGATGGTGGCTTGGCTTGTGTTGCCCCATGAGAAGTGCCCAACCAACCTAGCTAAGGGGCGGGGCTGTGGGGACTACCAATGTTCTCTGACTGATTTGAGCCTTTAAGGGGAGTGTAAGGGGAAAAGCACTCCAGCTCCCAACCTGGACACTATTGGCTACCCCAATGGGGTTTAGAAAGTAGTCTTTGGCCACTAGGGTAACACTAGTGCCATGTTATGCAGAAGCTACACAGAAGAGTTTACACGGGGAGTGAAAGGTTTCTAGGGCAACGAGTCCCACTCGGCTCCCTGCCTTAGCCTCAGGCCATCTGCATTCGGAATGTAAAAGTGCAGCTGGTCCTAGGTGTTCTCTTGGGAGCCCTCCTCAACCAGGAACTGTCTGCTGCTGGGGAATTTGCCCTTGGGACCCATTTCCTCTCAGGTCTGCTGGAAAGCAGCTAGCAGCAACAGTTGAGTTCCTGGAGAATGGTTGTTGGAGCTACTCAGGGTTTTTTTCCTGCACCACTTCACGTGGGTGTTGGCAAAGCATGGCTCTGTGTAAGCCAGTTTCCCATAAAGTACTGGAGTCCTGTGAGGCTCAGGCGGCCTTCAAAGTCCATGGCAGGAATACATAACGTCAGGATTTCCCTCACTTACCTCCCCTGCTGCGTCTGGAGGCTGCTTATAGTTTGTGTGGTAATTCAGGCAAGTCTGGCTAGTTCAACCCAGGTTGATCATTTTTTTTCTTCTTTGCTGTCTGTGGATCTTATCACTTCTCTGATGAGACTGGGGTGTGATACTGGTCTCCTTCCTCTCTGAGTGCTGAGGAATCCTCTCTATTTTGGTTTACTCTGTGGGAGAAACACTCTAGCTGCTTCTTGTTGGCCACCTTAATCCTATTTCTGCTCATGGTTTCAATATGGGTCAGGTGTCATTTATAGCTATTCTCTTCTTAAGTTCTTGTTATTTTTTTTTTTGAGTTGGAGTCTCACTCCATCACTCAGGCTGGAGTGCAGTGGCATGCTCATGGCCATCCCAGCATCGACCTGCGGGGCTCAGGTGATCCTTCTGCCTCAACCTTCCCAAGTAACTGAAACTACAGGTGTGCACTACCACACCTGGCTAATTTTTTAATTTATTGTAGAGATAAGGTCTCGCCAAGTTGCCTAGGCTGTTCTCGAACCCGTGGGCTCAGGCAGTCTTCTCACCTCGGCCTCCCGAAGTACTGGGATTACAGGCTTGAGCCAATGCGCCCAGTCTAGGCTCATTATTTTAAGCCCATGATGCTGAAGAGCACAGCCTACTCTTTGATATAACCTCTAAGATGCCATCAGCTGTTAATGAGGCATTTTACTATGTTTTATAAAAAAAGAAAAGAGCTGTCAATTAAAGGCAGTGTTTTCATATCATTTGGAATTTTATTTGTAAATATTGGAAATGCAACTTCTAATTTAATTGTATTTTTTTAATCAAAATAACTTATGATTACATGAAAGTAAAATAAATTAAAGTATTACACAAATTTGTTTATCCTTAGAGTTCAACTCTTTTGAGCCACTTTTTGACTCAAAGTTGTCTTTGCTATTAATAATACTATATTGGTGGCATGGCATTTCTTAGGAGCATCTTTAAATGCAATCGTATTTTTTGGTGCTGGGCTCTTAATGTTGCTAAACATTGCCACTTCATCAACCCCTCTTTACGACCCTTTGTTCCTGGAGTTAAGTGTTGCATCCCTATCTTTGGGATATTCCACAAAGCTTTGGATGCCCATTCTATACATTTTGTATATGTGTAAAGACATGTCAAGATTGCCTCCTGGTTGACAAGGATTGTAAGAAGGATTCTGGTTTCAGGATATTAAAATATGGCAAAAAGTATATATCTTACCTATATGTTTTACCCATAGTATATCTGTTTTACCCATACATGGTAGTGTGTGGGTAAAATGTAATCAAGAAGGCAAATATTATCAGTTTGGTTTTGAAAGATAATGTATTCTAACGCCAAAATGTGAAGGATTTTTAGATATTTGCAGAGCTTTATTTTTTTTGTTTTCCATTTGTTTAGCTTATTCATTCCTCTGGAGGTAGTTTTTGTAAAGAACAGTAAGTTTCAAGAAAATGTTTGGGAATAAAAATAGAAAGCCTAATATTTGGTTTTAGAGTAAGGGAGAAGGAAGAGAAGGAAAAAAGACATAATTCACATCAATTGCTTTATAAGCCAGAAAGGGGGTATTGAATAATTATCAAACATAGCATAGTTAAATGTTAGTATTAGTAGTCATCGTGTTTAACATATCTTAATAGTTTAAACTTTTATTTTAAACTGTTTTTCAATGTATAGGAAGCATGTAAGAAATGGAAGTACTATGTAGGGAAAAGCACAGTTTCAGTGACTATTTACTATTCCATGTGCAGAGCAAGTTGTGAAACTAGTATTTAATCAAGCTATGCTATATTTTCATGAAAATACAACTAGTTTATGTGATAGACTTAACTTAAATTTTATGTGTGCATTTGGAATTAGCCTGAAGCAGGACCTCCTAAACGAAGAGACTGAATTGGAAGCAACACTTAAGGAAGCCGAGCTGGCAACTCGTTCTGTAGAATTACTTTTGACATTATTTAAGGCCACCATTGAAGAGATCAGTTTTGAAAATGTAAGTATGTGACTGATGAGCATCTTGTAAAATCAAAAATTAGTATAATACTCAGAATGCATTAACTGAGGTCTCATTTCTCAAGAGTTATGCTCACATACAGGTATTTGATACCCACAATGGGGGGTTATCAGTGTTTTCTATTCCTGTCATTAACTGCAATTCTTTTCCTTAAAGATAATCTCAGCCATGTATCTAAAAAAACACTAGAAATTATCTACTTGGTGCTTGATTTATCTGAAGTGAAACTAGAGAATCAGCTTTTTGCAAGAGTGAATTTAAAACCTAAATCTTCTGAAAGATTAAATTTCTCTATTCTCTATAGTATTATTTAGAATACAATGCTATATTAACTATATATAAACTATTTTAAAATTTCAGCATACTAACGTTTGAGTTGGGTACAAACAATAGATTGTATTGTATTCTATAACTATTAGAAAAAAATGCCTGCATTTAAGCCCTTATTTGGATTTCATTTTACTTTAATGTACTGTATAGCACATCTAATTTACTATTAATAAACTGCAAAATTTACTATTACTGTGTACAAAAGAATTATTTTTTTACTAGGAATAATTATTGTTCGATAATATTTTGGAGTGTTTTTACTTAATGTTATGTTATAAAATGTGTGTGGTTCTTTTATTTTGTTAGGCAAATCTTTCTGCAGCCAATTTGAAGAAGATTTCTGAACAGAAGGAAATATTAACAAAAGAATTAGATACTTTTAAACGAGTGAAACTAACTTTAGAACATCTTGGAAAGACAGACTATAGACAAGTAAGGCGTCAACTCTAAGCACTCATGTAATAGCGATGCTTTTCCCTTGACGGATATATTATTTCTTAAACTGTAGAAATTAAAGTATTGACATATTTGAAATGGAAATAATTTTTTGAATTTTTGTTTGAGATGGCAATCATCAAACTAACTCCTACTTTTAATGTTTCATAAGTAGTTCTACATGAAAACAGCATGTTTTTATAGGAAATATATTTTTATTTTCTATCTCAAAAACTTGGTTTATGTTGTAGATACACTTCATTTAGTTGCTTACAATAAAATATATACTTTTAGTGTTTAAGCTCCTATGAACATTATATTCATACATACTTGTTATTTTTCTAGAAACACCTTTATAGAGATATAATTCCCATACTTTACAGTTTTCTTACTTAAAGTTCAATGGTTTTTAGTACATTCACAGAGTTGTGAAGCCATCACCACATTCAATTTTAGAGTATTTTCATCACTCTGTAAAAAAACCTTGTTCTCTTTAGCAGTTCACCTCCGGTCCCTTTCACACCCTGCTGAAAGGTCATCTATGTTCTGTTCTGTGGATTGCCTAGTCTAGATATTTCATGTAAGTGGAATAATTTGATATTTGGTGGTTCACGACAGCTTTCTTTCACTTAGCCGATGTTTTCAAGGCTCATCCCTGTTGTGGTATGTATCAGTACTTCATTCTTCTTTATTGCTGTACGATGTTCCATTGTCTGAGTATACCACTTTTATCTATTCTTCAGTTGATGGACATTTGGTTCATTTCTACTTTTGGCTATTATGAATAATGTTGTTATGAACATACATTTACAGAGTTGTAGTGTGGATATATGTTTTTATTTTTCTTGGATACATGCCTAGAAGTGGAATTGTTTGACTTTTTTTTCTTTATACACATGCGTACACACATTCGTGCACACACACATAATTCCCCTTTGATCTAGGACATCATTTCCTTTTGATACAGAATAGTCTTCACACTTTTGTCTGCCTTTACACATGAATAATATCATTTCAGTTCATCTCATCAAACATAGGGATAGTGGGAGCAGGATGGGAGGGTGTCACCTCATTATTGGGAAAAACTGATTCAGAGCTGCTTGAACATATAAAGAAAACTAAAGCCTGACTTTGTAGTCACATGGTTAGGTATGGTATAATTGTTAGTTTAAAATATTTAAAATAATAAATTAGAAGTGTTTTTCTTCTTTACTACTATTTCTCACTTGTTGAGTAAAGAAATTATGCAAGATCAAGATTATTTACCTGGCTTTCTTAATCTGGGATCTGTGAATCCCCTAAAATTTTATGTAATATATTGTATGCATTGACTAGAGACAAGAATTCTGCATCACTAGTTTTTTACTTTTTTGTGATTATTACTTATTTTGGGTCTTAGGACAAATATATTGAAGAAATTAACTCCTGTGAAGGGCTGAAAAATCTTGAGCTAATGACAAAATCACCTAAATTACTCTTCTGACTCTTTTTTGACTTCTGTGATGACATTTTTTGAGAATTGTAAAAATTATCTAATATTAGGTAATGGTTGTTGCATTTAAAAAGTCACATGCTCATTATAGAAAATTTAGATAAGCAAAGAAATATTAATAATTCTCTTGATGTCAGCATTCAATGAAAGATCACTATGAAGCGCTGTTACTTTGGTGTTACATAACTTTAGCAGTCTTTTGTTCCATTACTGTATTTGTGTTATGTGTGTATATAATATGCATTGTTTGAAAAAAAGTGGGGTCATGCTAGTCTCATTGTTTTATAACTTGACTTTTGTACTTAATACTATATTATCTGTATTTTCTTATATGCTAAATATATTTTGCATAGGAAGGAATCTTAACTTGAGCTCTGTATTCCCTTACAGAGTCCAAGGATGGGCTTCCTGAAATCCATGAGTCCTCTGAAATTATGTGTGCAATTTTGCATTATATGTGCACATATATGTGCTTTGGAGTGAAAAGAATTAATAGATTTTTCACATTCTAAAGCAGGAGTATGACCTTCAAAACTGAATACACATTTTTCTATGGTCTTATTTAAAATGACTGCATAGAATTCTGTTACTGATTTGCTGTAATTCATTAAGACATTTCTTATTACTAGAATTTAGGTTGTTGATAATTCTTGCCTATTTATAAATAGCACTATGTTGAGCCTCTTTGGCATGCAAGATTTTTGTGATTTTTATGCCATTGGCCTATACTTTCTGAGGCATTCTTTTGAAATAAATTTAGTAGATAAATAGTTTAACAAATTGTGGACAAAAAATGATTTGAAACACGTCAACAAAAGTGTTTTCAACGGTTAACTCTTAAAAATCTGAACTGTGCATAGTAGTTGTCTATATTAATTTCTTGAGTGATGCTTATTTCATTGTCTACTTTTTTAATGTGGAGAAATATACTTTGTGAACACTGATTCATAACCTCCTTTTTTTCACAGACAGGAGACAATTTACCCAGCATGTTCTTGGAAAATCTAACTGATAATGAAACTAAGAATATTGTAAGTCTTTTCACACTGACTTTGTGTTCATTCTTTCTTTTTATATTTGTGTGCTGCTTAGTTTTATCAAATTATCCAATATTAATAATTGTGAACTTTTTAACTCTTATTACATTTGCTGAAGAATCTTAAGAAGAGGATACTTGAGAAGGAAACCTATATCCAAGAACTTTCTTGTTTGTTTAAGAATGAAAAGGTAAGTCAGTTTTGAGCTGAATTCATTCCATTTTCTTAATATAGATTCCCTCTTCCCTTTTCTTTCCATCCTGGTCCCAAGTTTTCAGAAATAAATTCAGAAAGGTGTTTTTAAATTCTAGATTATTTGGATATTTTGCAAGTTCTATGTATTAAATATAACATCTTAATTTTATTGAGTTTTTTTTTAAGTGTTGCAGTTAGGTGTTACAGTCAGAGTACTTGTCATAAATCACTCCAAATTAGGAACTCTTGTAAATTTGTATTATATTTCCATTTGGGGACAAATTAAGGAATGTTGGTGTTTGTAGAAACATTTTAGATATATCTGTAACTTTACTTAGGAATATAGATGGGAATTTGTAAAGATATAATTATCAGGAACCGTTAAATAAAAGGCAGGGAAGAGAACCTTCACCTGGTTTTACATGAAATGCATTTGTGTTGGGGAACCAATATGTAAAGTAGTGCTTTGCTTTTTGTCAGCTGTTTGGATGGTATCTAAATCATGGTAAAATTAAAAATATTGAGGGATACAGCAAATAACATTCTCTTTCTTTTTCTCTCTGTTACAGGCAAATGCTTTGAAAGCAAACCGTTTTTCTCAGTCAGTGAAAGTAGTACATGACCGACTGCAGCTCCAGATTCATAAAAAGGAAACAGAGAATGATAAGTTAAAAGAATATTTAAAGGTTATAAATATGGTCCAATTTTTAGAACTTAAGTGGTAGAATTAAAGAAAAGCTATAAAGCCATTTCTTAATTTTGGAATTTGGTGGTTTTAAAATAATTCAATTTAAATGTTAACATGGGAAATACATATTTAAGATAAATCTTAATATTTCTGGCCTACCTAAAGATTTGGGTCCAAATTCCAATATAAAAATGCTATATCTTCTTAGTATCAATGTAGGCAGGATTTATAGAGACTGAATTACTTTAAAAATCATCCCATTATGGTTAATTTATGTTCATTATGGAAAATTTTATAAAATATGAAAAATATAAAGGAGAAAATAAAAATAACTTTAAAACACCGAAATTTTTGTTAACGTTTTGGTGTATATTATTTCAGTCTTTTTTATATATCTATACATACTCATATATGTTTAAAAGATAGTTAATAAATGTGGGTTTTTTGTTATTAAGAGTAGTAATTTTAAAATCAGTTAACCTAGCTTTGATTTTTCAGAAAATGGTGCCATCTCCTTATTATACAACCTTGTAGCGATATAATTTAGAATTTTTTGGTATTCTTTTGGAGTCAGAGTCACTTTGAGATAAAAATTTCAGGTTGCCATCATATGACACAAGGTAACGACCATCTTGTCATTACTTTTGCCAAAGGAAAAGATGCCACGATCCTGTCTTCAGAGAAGTGTACAAAGACTCAAATCCCGCTGAATGTGAGAGCTTCAGAGTTAGTTTTTTGTTTTTTCCTTCAGTGACAAAAAGCTTTTGCCCAGCAAGGGAACATTAAGTAGGTTTATGGGACATGTAAATTGTGTCCTTTGTTTCCCCTGCATGCTCCTTTAAGCACCTTTCCCCTAGGTGGTATCCTAGGGCACTACAGCTGAACTGGATTTGGTATTGCAGTGCTCTGTCATAGTAAGTGCAAGAGAATACATGTGATTTAACATGTCTGATATATTATTTGACATATAGGATAGCCATCTACCCAGATTTATCACACACAATTTTTAATTATGTCCTCAAATAACATTGAGAGAGTTTTTGAAAACATTTTCTTCAAATTATAAATGAAATATTTTATAGGTAAGTTTCACAATTTAAAAAAAATCTCCGTTATAATTTGGAGAAAACATAAGGTGGAAATCCTAATAAGATTTTGCCATTAAATTCTCCTAATACTTTGCGTTCAAATTCTTTTCCAAAAATGCTCCCATTAAGAAATGATTAAAATAATTTGCCTTAGTTTGCTGATTTTTCTACATTTTTTCTCACACACTTTTGAATTTTAAGCCTTTAAGTAATTGGAGGCCAGAATTTCATTTTTTGACTTAGATTTGACAAACTTTTGTTTTTGTTTTTGTTTTGATAATACAAGCACAGTTAACTCAGTTTGGTACTGTAAATCTCAAAGTTTTACTGTTGTTTAGTTCATTATATTGGATCTTTAAAAAATTTACATTGTAATCCTCTGAGAACTGTCCCCAAAATACTTTGACCATTTTTCTTTGTAGATCTAGCAGTAGGAGTTAGAATATTTTCATATTTTTAGAGGAGACAGAGAATAATTATCTATATAATATGCAATGTGTATATAATGTATACAGTTTGGGTAGGAAAAGGCAAATAATCAGCTTTGTGTTTGCTTATCCATTAGGCAGATGATTGAGAGATTATTTATTTGAAACTATAAAGATAATTTGTAAGCTTCAGTACACTCATAGTGTTTAAGTGTAGAATTTGATCAATCTAGTGGGAAAATCTTGCCAGGGACTGTGTTAAAATTGTTTTTACTTCACCTTTCATATTTAAAAAGGTTTTTACTTACGTGTAGCAACTCATCATGGTGTGATGCTGACACCCTGTGGATATTTTGAGGAATGACGGCAGTATTTCCTGTGGGGTGTTCTTTTCTCTTAATGTAGACTTATTGTAACAATGCTCTGTTTTTCCACCAACTACTTATTATGTTTCATGGGATTTTTTTTTTAGTTTAAGTTATACTTTTAAAGATAATTTAAGAATGTGTGGCTTCTTCTCTTAGTTTAGTTACTTTTCTTTCTTTCTTTTTTTTTGTTTTTTGAAAGCAGGATTTATTGAGGACAGAAAAGCTCACAGTGGGAGGGGACCTGAAGGAGTTGCCCCAGTTAGTTACTTTTCAAAGAGATCAAGTCTAAATCTTCCAATGTACTTCTGAATCTTGATTTTAGTTGGAATTAGGAAGCATAGTTTATTGATCCTAGAGTTAAGTTGAAAATCCCCAGATTTTACTGTGACCCCTTTGAAATTTTAAAAATTAAAATGACTATCTGAGGAATAGGAGATTGGAACCTAAATTCTGTACTAATTTCACATTGATTTTGATAGTACATAGCTTTCAAAATGTAAAAGCATTAAAATCTTAAGCCTTTAAATTCTTAGATACCTAATACTCAAATGCTTTAAATACAATCTTAAAATAATTTGAAATAAAAACATGACCGTTATCATACTAAATCACATCCCTCATCCACCCAGCCTAATATTGTTTCTTATTATGTCACCAAGAGATAGATCAAGGAGATGATCATACCGTTAGCACCATCACGTCCAGAGGATAGAAGCCTGTCCTCAAACATCTTTTTGCTATTATTCATCTTGCGGATCTGATAATCATTAAATTATCTAAACCTGCATTTGATCTTAGAACAATGACTTCTACAAACTCACTTCTCATTGGATAAAGAATTGCTCTTATTGTCTTTAATGTAACTCTTTCGAGTATTAGGGTATGCCCCCTAATTCTAGTAAATTGCAACTAGGTAAATATATCTTTTTAATCTCATCTATGCTTTTCATGATCTAGGGATTCTAATCATATCTTTTTAAAGCCTTTATATTTTGAACTACAGAGTCTAAATATATATAGGGAGTTACTATTCCTTTCAGCTTTGTGCCCATTATCTGGATTGTTTCTAGCTTTGTCATTTCTATTTTTATTTTTTTGTGTGTGCAGGTACCACACTGTTTTAATTATTGAGATCAGCTCCATTACCCATAGCAACATCTAGCAAGAGAGAAAATCTGCATCAATAAGAGTGGTTTTTCATTTTAATGTCCTGATAACTTCAGTTAAGGATATAAAAGTACTGTGGAAGCAGCTTTGTGTCAAAATTTCTTTTTCTGGGGAAGCTGACTTACAGCGGGAGAAAGTAGAAGAGAGAATAATGTTTTATTGTAACCTCCTGGTGCCCAGTTGTTAGGTTAAACACTAGTCTCGATGTTTCTGTCTCAGTTATGTCTTTATAATTTGTTTTGTAAAATAGTACTATGTGTAATATTTTGGAAATGAATCTAAAAAATATTCTGATCACAGAAGTTTTAAGGAATTTAGTGTTTGTACCATAATCACCAATATTATTATCTTTGATAATGGTAGCATTTCTTTTATAGAGGCTTATTTATTTTAAATTTGCATTCTTTAACTGGTTCCAAAAAAGCATTGGTGAAATCGCCTTCATGGTTTTGCTTTTTATTAATCTTATGAGTCTTTATTTTGATAAAATCTGTGTGGCAGAGTATGTGCATGTTTTTACGATATTGACATAAACTTTGGAGTTCTGAAATAATTTAATTGTTGCTCATTTTTTTTTAGAGCTTAGAAGCCAAGATCGCCAAATGGAACTTGCAATTAAAAATGAGTAAGCATGAAACTGTAGCAACGAAAGAAGCAAGTAGACAAAAAACAATAGCTCTGAAAAAGGCATCTAAAATTTACAAACAAAGGCTCGAACATTTCACAGGAGAGATTGAAAAACTTACTTCACAAATTAGGGATCAGGTAATTATATAATTTCTATCTTTATGAACTTTATGTAGTTAGTGTCATGATACTTAATATAATTTATTCTTCTCGATGCTATTGGTACTAGAAAAACTATACTTGTACATTTTGCTTTAGTCTTTTATTTTGAAATATTACACAAAATGTCAAATTTGGGTCTTGAATTATATCAGCATTTCCTTGGGAACTTTACTTGAAATACTAAGTGGATTGCCCCCACCACACATAAAACTCTTATGGCCAACTAAGAGTAGCAAACACTTCCAACATATTTCCCCTTGGGAATTATAGTCCACGTTAGCATATTAAAGGCCCCAGAAGGCTTTCAGAAAAACAGTGTAATGAATGGTATTGAACTAAGAGTTTCCCACACTTATTTAACCACAGAACTCTTCTTTTACCCACAACGCAACTCTTGGAACTGGTTCTGAGGAGCACCCGTTTGGGAAATGCTGATTTATGATATTAGGCCATATGACTTTATTCAGTAATTCCCTTCATTTCATCTGTGTAATACATTTAAAACCATATGCTGACGTAAACACACCATGTGAAAGATATCTTTGGGTATATTACCAAGTTGTAAAATGAACTTAGTGCTTTGTTGTTTTTGACAAATTATGAAAATGTCTTACTGGTCTCCTACCTCGTGAGAACTTATGTTAAGGCTTATAGAATTATTACAGGCTTTTAGAAATGAAAACAGACTTATAAAAGTTTATACAAAACAAACAATAAAAGCTCAAATGTTAACATTCTAAAGCATTCTAATATTTAACTTACCTTCAGAAGAATTTAAATAAATAAAAACATTGAAGACTAGATTCAAAGTCTAGAATGCCATGGACCTGGTTCAGTGCCTGAAAATATTCTTGAGTGGTAAAAACTAATTGAGTCATTAACATTCTTGGGGTTTTCCTATTAAAATAGCATTATCCACACCCCCAGATTATAGAATAGAAAGGCTCCTCCTCTTGTCTACCTTTTGTTTTCCATTAAGGAATTTAACCTCTATAGGCTTCAACTTCCTTATCTATAAAATAGGGGACCATAATACTCCCTATCTCATATGCTTATAGTGAGGGATAAATGAGAAAATATATTTTTGCGCTGTCCTCCTTTCTGTTCCTCTAATGCATGGAGTTTGTTTGTTTGCTGATGCCTCTGGTTTTATGTTCATCTCTGGCTCAAATAGCTGTGTTTTGAAAATTCAGGTATCTTTTCAGTTGACATTTCTTCAGAGAACTCTTTCTTGATGATGACTTTTGAAGTAGTACTGTAGCAATCATATCAGTGTCTTACATTTTTTGTAGCATTTATTATAATCTGAAACTATCTCATTTGTTTTTTAGTTTGCTGCTCCTTTATTTTTCCTTTTAAAAGAGTTCTCTTTACTTGAATATAAGTCCTAGGAGGCAGAAGCTTGCTTATCCTATCTACCTGAGGGAATCACTGTTTAAAACAGTATCTTAAGTCCAAAACAACAACAGTTCAGTAACAGGAGCTAAATAATAATTTAATAAAATGTCATCACATATCTACACAATGCCTGAAATTTACCAAGAATTACAGAGAGAGCAAGGAAAATTTGAAAGAGTCTGTGGTCTTTGATAATTAGATCACTAGTAACTGGTTTAGGTGTAGTTTCAGTGCAGTGGAGGAAAAGGTGAAGGGGGCTTTTGCTTTATGTCAGCATGTTTATAAGGACAGATGAAAGAAGAAATGAGAATTTTTAAAGTGCTGAGGATGACTGGTTCTGATGTTGCCTGGCCAGAGACCAGGATATTAAATGCCCTATAATTCTGCACACTGAAGAATTATCCCATTTCCTTCTTTGAAAACTGGACAAATTCAATTTGCTTCTAAGCTTAGATGTGCCACTTTTCTAAAGCAAAACATCTCCTCTAGGAAGGTGATTCCATCATTGGCTAGTCCCTACATCTTAGAGTGTCATACTAAGTAGGTAATAATTATACTGCTAATATATAAATTCCTTTTATATTATTCCTTAAATATCTTAATTTACATTATAAACTCATACTTTATAATGTATATTATGCCCAACTCATACTTCATAGTTTGCATTAAAATTTATCTTACATAAAATATAAAAACCGAAAAATAGTCTTTCTTCACTATATCAAAAATATTACTAGGATAAAATTTCAACAAAAACGTTTTGCACATGATAGATGCTTAATAAATACTTGTTCAGTAAATGGATGAATAATGGAAAGAAGGAGGGAAGTGCCCAATAAATGTTAACTGTTATAATCACTGTTTCTAGGTCTTTGGGTGTGTAAGTCCCGGTACTATTGCATTCCTGTGAGCTTGTTTCTCTGTGGAACGCAGACAGGGGACACAGTGGCTACAGGTCTGTGGGTGGATCTGCAGTCATTTGAGTTCTTTATTGAGCATATGCTGTATTAGGGCACTACTCAAGGCCCCAGACATACAGCTATGAACAATACAGACAAAAGTCCCTACCTCATGGAGTTCATGTTCAAAATGGATAAGCCATTCCTACCACTTTTATCTCTTTGAGGACAGTAGCAGTTTGAAGACTGGCAGTGGTGACTACCACTAAGCTTTGTATCATTATAGCAAAGACAAATAAGACTGTATTACCAAATGTTTTTATGGAGTGTGGAATTAGGGGTAGTTTCTGTGTACATATACCATATAGGGCTTCTTTCTTTTCTAATGCTTACGTGGTTGTTGCCATATTCTGTATATAAAATGCAAACTGAAAAGTTCAGTTAAAGGAAAGAAAATTATCTTCAACAATTATGAAATATTGCTTTAAAATACTTGCAACAGTCTTTAAAATGTTAAGCTGCAACTTCTACTTCATGTATATAAAATAATAGCAATAGAGGTATTTTATTAAAGTTTACTTTAAAATTTTCCTATATTCAAAATAGTATATGGACATTTTTGATATTAAAAGTTCCATGCTTTTTTTTGAAGAGTATTTCCCTGTTTATAACATATTTGTGTTTAGAGTTCTGAATAAAACAATAATGTTTTTAAGTTACAGGATAAGTACTTTATGTATTTTTTAGGAAGCCAAGTTGTCTGAAACAATTGCAGCTTCCAATGCCTGGAAAAGTCATTATGAGAAAATTGCAATAGAAAAAACTGAATTGGAAGTTCAGATTGAAACAATGAAAAAGTAAGAAAAAAGCTTAGGATACTTTTTTACTATTTAGTATGAAATGTTTTCTTTTTTTTCTTCTTTGAGTGGTTTGTATTTTGGTTCTTTTGGGTTACATATGGTAACGCTGCTATGTGATCTGATATTTTTGTTACTTATAATTTTATAAACTTTTCTTGCTCTGTTGTAAAAACAATAAAAATGATTGCTCATTAAAAGTGCATTGTTGTTCACATTTTGAAATTCTGAGCTTGTAGATTAGTATTTGGTGTTTGAGTATGTGTTATCTATTATTTGTGGTAAATGTTAATACTGACTTTGCTTTAAATGGAAATAATGTTTCTCTTTTAAACAAGAATATGTTAGAATATATAACAAAGTTTGCAACATAATACATAAATGCTTTGAAAATTCTAAAAATTATTATTTTTAATTAAAGTGACTTAAATGCTCAACAAAGAAAATCAAGAGTAAAAAATACGTATATTTTATGCTTTGGAATATATTCCTGTTAACCTAACAATAATAAACCCTGAATATATGATTTCAAATGTTTTCTGTGTATTAACTTCAGTTTTATCATTGAAAACTACCATACATAATTTGTTCCTAAAGATTTGTTGTTATTGCCTCATTTGATCCTTTTCTTTAACTTTGTCACTTAAATTGTAAGTATGTGTGCACATGTATGAATAAAGGGAGAGCCAGACATACATACCTGTGGGTGATAGTTTAGAGGTTTTGTTGAATAGCAAGGAGTATGTTGTATAATTTTTCATTAATATCATCAATGAGAAATTGGTTCTAATCAAAGTTACTTTGGTGGTAACCTTATAGATTACTTTGTCCTACTTCCTTGTTCTATGAGTTCTGTTTACTTTTTCTACATTCCCTGTTTGGAACAGCGCACCCTGTCAAAGTGATTTCAGAAACACACTTAAATTTGTTACTTAGATGCAAATTTGTATGACTTTTATAAAACTTGTCACTTATTTTATGAAGGCAAACCACTAATCTTTTGGAAGACTTGAAGAAAGTGGATGACCATGGAAAAAATTCATGTGAAGAAATTCTTAGGAAACTTCACTCAATTGAATATGAAAATGAAACTCTGAATCTTGAAAATACAAAATTAGAGGTATTCTGTTTGTGTGTTTGTGTGGGTGTATATTGTGTAATGACTGTAGTCTATTTAGTAGAAGAAACAGTGTGTTTAGAATAATGCTCTTGTATAATTTTGTCCTTTATGTTTCTCAGGATATTATGTGCTTTCAGCAGTAAATATAATTTATGAAGTTGACTGTCTCTTTGCCTCAACTTAAAAAAATTATTTACTCTCTGGTTTTAACAGTTAAGTGAATCATTCAAAAATTACATTAACTTTAATGCATAAGATTATTTCTAGGTGTCATGGTTACGATAGGATATAACCTCAGGCCTGGTCTGTTTGAAACCAGAAAGTATGTTCTTGGCTGCTTCTTAACCAGAAAGAATTTTCCAACTTAGTCAAATCCAAGGGATAATTGGTTTGCATATGTACCAGAGAAGAGACAGGGAAGAAACTTTTACACTTTCTGAGAAAAAAGACATTTTGAGTTCTCAACCGGAGGCACATGTACTGGATGAAACTTGAAAGATGATGGCATCGTTTGAGTTCCATAATACTACTTTTAGAAGACAGAAAGTAAAAGACAGAAAAGGATCTTTTAAAATCATGAAATAAAAGTTTGTGTGCACAGGATAAATAACAGTATAAACCCTGAATATATGATTTCAAATGTTTTCTGTGTATTAACTTCAGTTTTATCATTGAAAACTACCATACATAATTTGTTCCTAAAGATTTGTTGTTATTGCCTCATTTGATCCTTTTCTTTAACTTTGTCACTTAAATTGTAAGTATGTGTGCACATAGAGAAACTTGTAAATAAACATCTAGCACAGTTATCTGTGTTTATAGTAGTTTAATTTTTTCACTGCATTTAGAATTAGCTAAACAATGTACATTTACTCTGAACTAAGATGTCTTTATTGTTGATAATTTGGTACTTGAGAGAAAAGATCTTTAATGTTAAAATAAGTTCTAAGACTTTTTTGAGTTAAGGTTTCTTTTTTTCTATATTAGAAATGTACTCATTTCTGTTTCTTGTAGAAAATATTGTAATTTACATTATGTACAAAAGCTGCAGTGGGCTTTATAAGTGAATTTGTTTGAGAAAAACATACAAAATTATAAAATTATCACTAAAGAAAGTTATTTAATAAAAAATAGCATTCTGGGCTTTAAGGTTCTAAATTGTTATTTAAAAATATTTTTTAGCTGGGCTCGGTGGCTCAGCCTGTAATCCCAGCACTTTGGGAGGCTGAGGTGAGTGGATGCCTGAG